CGCCCCCTGCGCTTTGAACTGGGGCCGGGGCGGCCGGCGCCCTCCGGGGCTGCAGCCGGGGGTCCCCGCGCGGCCCGCTGGCCGGGGATCTCAGGGACCTGGGAAGCGGAGACCCGGCAGACTGTGGAGCGGTCTGTCCGGGCTGCGGAGAGACACGCAAAGCTGTGGGATCTGCGCTGCTCCGCTGTTTCTGCGGCTCCTTCTTGCACTGTCTCTGTATTTTAGAGATAATTCCCCGAAAAGCTGCTCAAAGTTGTCATAGGTTCTGTATGCCGTGAGCTCCTGGTCCGGGCAGTCAAAGGATAGGTCATTTAGCTGCAAGACTGCCCTCTCTGGACTTGGGAGTTGTGGCACGTGGGTAGACAGCCCAGGCAGAGCAGACCCGCCAGGACAATGAGATCGCCAAAGTAAGCCGAGTTCTCTCCCAGCCCCTCCCGGTTCAGGCTGCTGTGCAGCCAGGCCGACCACGGCTTCCTTGTGCGGGACTGAAGGCTGCCGATAAGCATGTCTCTCCCGCGCAGCCCTGGAGACTTTAAACAGCAAATAACCTGGTAACTGGGCAAGCACCTTGAGGTTAACATTGCCAGTAATGTCTCTGGGCTGCAAAGAACGCTCGGTATCCCATGTGGAAGAACTCTGGAGGCGACGTGGGTCGCGTGTGAGGATGTTAGGGGAGGCGAACAAGACTCAGGAGATACACACCCGCAGAGTCTTGGGTCTTGGCCACTCACTACTGTAGTAAAAGATCTTCACTTGAATGGAGTGTGATAAACATAGCCCCCAGAAATCATTGAGCAGCTCCTACTGAGTTCTGGGAGCTGGAGAAGTAAGGGTGGTGGTGTCTGCCTGGGTCAGCTGTCTGCCCCTTGGGCACTGGGCTGGCATGGCAAGGTGTGACTGGATCTCTCTTTTGAGTCTAACTCTGGAATCCTGGGACCATACGTAAAACTAACTTTGGTGCAGAGGAGGAAGTGCAGGCCTTCAGAACTCACACTGCCTGTAGATAACCCGGCGATAGGCTTTGCCCAGCTCCGGGACGCCTCACTCTGGGGCAGCAACGGGAAGATGCGCCTGGGAGGCAGGACTTGAGGCCCCGAGCCGAGCCGCAGAGGGCAGGGGAGAAATTCAAGGTCAGGGGCCCCACAGTGCCTGGGGCTGAAATGAAAGGAAGGGCAGGCAGGCAGGAGTGAGGCATCCACTGGCTCTAGGCAAGGTAGGGAAGGCGGGGCTTCCTGGCCCCAAAGTCCCTGCAACTCCCTCCTGCAGGGCTTCAATCCTCAACAGCCCCTTCTCCGTGCGTCCTGGACTCTGGAGAGGTCAAATTGGTGTCCTGAATTGCTGTCATTTTAAATTCATCTTGACAAGTGTTTAATTCTCCTTCATCACAACCCTCAGTCTGAGAGTGGTATGCAAATAATGGCTATTCTGCTGCATGCAAAATGGGCAGTATCTCTCTGTATGATCTGTCAATTAACTCCGGGTCTGGCCCACCAGTCACTTTGGGGGTGGTCCTGGGCAGGGCAGCCTCTGGCTCTGGGTTCCTTCCAATAAAGAGGCCTGCTTCGGGCTCCGCAGAGATCTCAGCCAAGAGCAGCAGCCAACCACGGGCCTGCGATTTGTGGGGTGAGTGTGGAGTCCTGCGTGTGAGGCGGGGTGCACACTGGAGCTTATAGATGGCAAGGTACGTGTGAAGGCAAGTGTGCACATAAGAATTGACCTTGCACGCACAGTGCGTGTGTGTCAGTGTGCAGCCACGAGTAATTCTGGTGACCAGATTTATATAGAATAGTTGTGGAATCTGTGACTCTTTTCTTGTACCCAAGAACTTGTGGAGAAGAGCATGCCAAGAGCAAGAGATCCCCTAAGAGTCAAAGAACGCATCTTTTTCCCTGGTTTCCAGTTTTTGTTTTTTGCAGGGCAGGGAGGGTTGAACCCAAGTGCTCAGGTCTTTCTTCTGATCATCTGTGTTCAAAAACCATCGTTTTGCCATCCTGGTGGAAATAAAACTTCCTGGGGCAGAAAAGCTGAGAAACTCCTAGCCACAATTGGGCTCAGCGGCACAGTGCCTGCCTTGCAAGTGTGAGGTCAGGAGTTCGATTCCTGGTACCACACACACACAAAAAAAATCACGCAATTCTGGAAAATAGTTTATTAATTCATTATAGGGCTAGATACATGATCAATGCCTTCTCTTAACACTAAAGAATATAATATCCAGGAAGGGGAAAATGCTGGAAAAGTAATTAAATAACAGAGCATCAACTAAATACAGACAGATAAATGCGCAGGTACTGATTACACTTGTCATGCATCAAGAAAAGGAAGATATTTAAATGAGACTCAAAAAAACTTAAGGCATCAAGGGCAGGTGACCAAGGGATTAATACCCTGTAAAAGGCCAATAGACGCTTTTGTAATAAAAATACTGCTACAAAGACACAAACCTAACACTTCCAAACTACCCAGAGCCCAAATCATATATAATGCTAGTGAGTAATGGCCATTTTCTTATCAACTGTGAGTTATAGGCAGATACCAGATTTATTACTTATTTGCTTTTGAGAAACAATTTTCCACCCAACCTAATGGGTTATAAATTGTCTCATTTGCAGCTATTTAATTTAAACCAGAACTTCAGTGCCTGTTAAACAAGAACATGAAAAATGACGACGTGGTGTAACGCTAAGAGCCTACAGATAAAACAGCCATTTGATTCCGGTTAGTCTTGTTTTCTAAAAAACAAAAAAAAAAAAAAAAAATTCAAACCAGCAAAATAAAATGAGGCTTTTGACCTTCAGAACGATGATGAAACGTATTGTGGTGCCGGCCACAGCCGAGCTGAATGCCACGGAAACGGTACAAGTGACAATTCCGTCTTTAACGAGATACAAAAGCGACATTAATAATCTTTAGTGTTATCACAGGCTGGCTGGAGGAGGGGCGGAGGAGGAAATGTAGGTGAGGATGTCAAATGTGAGCGACACCCGATCGTAATAAACAGGGACACTTTCAGGGTCTGCGACTCTGCTGAGAGACATTTCGCCGCTTTAAAAAAAAAAAAAAAATAAGGAAAGATAGACTGGTTATTTCTAATTTGGCCCAGTAGCCAGAGTTAACTCTTGACATGCCGATCCGTGAGGGAGGAAAGACCCACCATGCTCCTGGGAAGGCCGGGGTGAGGGATATATAAAATGGCATCATTTTCACTACACAGGAAACAGAAGTCAAGCCTGTCCTTGTGCGGCAGATCAGCAGAAAATGATTTCAGCATTCACTTTAGAGAAAAGAGTGAAAGCAAAGGAGCCAGTCACCCTTTTCCTGCGGAGACCTCTCTTCAGGACCCCAGTCAGGTTCAAGGTGCCAGGGTGCGAAATCCTGAAAGGTCAGAACCACCCCAGCCTGGCAAGCCTGCCTCCCTCCACAGACGGCACGACACTGCAGGTCTCAAAACTTCCTGTGTGACCCGGATTCATCCCCTCCAAGGAGAACCTTCCACCCTGAACCCCAGGAGAAAGCGGCAAGGGAAGCGGGGAGGTCTCCTCCAAACCTGCGCTGGGGGAGGGGCTGGCGGTGGTGCTCAGAGGACGGGGGTGGCAGGGGCCCCAGGGGAGGCGGGAGGGGACACAGGTGTGCGCTATGGCCTGGAAGTAGACATGAGGTAGTCTTGTTGTTAGGGAAAGATGCAGAGGCTGACCCCGGGCCGGAGAATCGGATGTTGTGGTCTGGAAGGGCAGGAGAACAGAACAGAGAGAGCAGACATTCCAGGGAGCAGAGCCGGAGCCAGAGCCGGAGCCGGAAACGGGCAGCAAGGTGGCCTGGACACAGTGCAGGGAAAGGCAGGACGGGGGAAAGCAGATTTCCAAAGCCAGGCACTTCCCAAATTACACAGTCCGGCGCAGGGTGGCTCTGAGGGCAGCCAGGGTGACCCTCTCGGTCTGGGCGGCGGGCAGGTGGGCCAGGAAGGCCACGCGGCTAACACGTCCGGCCGGCAGAGCCCGCGAGCACAGGACGCGGGCCGGGCTGTCCCTATCGGACAGGCACTGGAGACACTCTCAGAGTGCGGAATAAAAGGCTGGAGACGGGGCAGTGGGGCCCGCAGGGCAGGGACGGGCCACCCTGAGGGTCAGCAGGCCGCAGCGACCACCGCCTGGGCCGCCCAAGGCTTCCCAGCCTACCAAGCTGTACACCGCACACATGTGGCTTCACACGTGCGTGTCACATGTAGCGGTGTCTCACATGTCTCTCACATGTCACATGTGTATTGCAAAGACCATGGGAGGAGTGAATAATCCAACTCTTCTCCCCCCAGCCGAAGCATCCTAGGAGGCTCCAAAGGGTGTAGTGGTAGCGGCGGGTATGCGTGTGTGCATGCGTGGCTGTGCACACCGTGCCCCGTGTGCCCTATCACCCTCCCTCGGACTGCACCTTCCACTTGGGGGAACTAAGCAGAGGAGGAGATGGGGGCTCTGGGCAGGTCCAGGCTGGGCCCAAGAGGGCAGGGCGCTATGGGCTGGCAGCTGTCCCCAGAGGCCTCCTGCAGAGCCTTGCAGGGCTGCAGGTCTGGGTAGGTGCAGGGGGCACTGGCTGCCTCGGGCAGGCAGGTGAGTCGGTCTGGCCCGGGGGCTGCTGGCTCACACTCCCCGAGCTCCTGGTCTAGCCAGTCTGCTTCCTGCCCAAGATCCACGACGCCAGGGGTGAAACCAGGAGCTTCCACAGGCAGGGGGTCCTCTGGCTCCGGGTCTTGGAGATGGAGGTCGGGCCGCCCTCTGCACGCGCTGAAGTCTGAGTGGACAATGACCTCGGCCTCCACCTGGTTCCTGCTGGCGGGGGGTGGCTTCTTCCTCCCGTTGCCCTGGTCAGAGCAGAGAACAAGAGACAGAGGGCAATCATCGGAAAAGATAGCCAGTAGTGGGCAGAGAGCATGACCCTCCATCAGAGTGTGTCTTGTATGTGAGGTGGAAACAGGAACGCAAGAACTGCCCCAGCTGACAGGGGGCTCAGGCCTGGGTAAGGGCACCAACCTCTGCCAGGGCCCCCAGGAAGAGGATGGACACAGGAGGAATGCGTCAGGCCAGTCTCTCTCACTTAGGTCTGGGTGGAGGAGGACCTGTCCCCAAGCCTAGTGAAACACCTGTTCCTCCAAATGGGCCTGCCTGCCTCCCGCTCAACCTTGCAGGCCTGGGGTCTCCTGGCTGGACCTCTCTCCCCAGGAGTTACCACCCCAAGGCTCCAGACAGCTCCCGACACCCGCCTTCCTCCCAGCACTCACCTTGATGGCGTCATACACGAGGGCCTGCAGCAGCAGCGTCTGCCCGGTCCCCGCAGGCGGCAGCAGGGCCCGCGTCAGAGCAGGCCTGGGGCCAGCCTGGGGCAGCTCACAGCCTGCCCAGGACCCTGCCCAGCTCGGCACCCCTGGGTGACCCCAGGAGATCTGCACGGGAGAAAGAAAGGGACACTGAGGCACGTGGCTGCGGTTCCCTTCATGGGGGGAACGGAGGCTGCGGTCTTGCACACCAGCCTAACAGCTGCTGCTCCGTGCAGCCCCGTGGGCTCCCCCTCACTCGGGGCAGGGGCAGGGGGAGGTGAGGGGTGACCGTTCAGCTGGCAGGGGCAACCCCGCCTTTGCAGGGCTCTCAGCTCATCTTGGTCTCAGCCCTACTTGGCCACAGCCAAGGTGCCAGCCTCTTCTCTCCACACCGGGGAGGGCTGGGACTTAGGGGTCTCCTCCGCTCTGGAGGTGAGCGGGAATTTGCGCGATCTGGCCAGTCTGAGTCACCTGTAGGCAGCCAGTGAGAGCCAAGCAGAGCTCTTCCGAGGGAGGGAGGCGGCGCTGCTTCCCGGCCTGCCGCCCCTCCGGGAGCAGGAGGAGGCAGGGTGCGCGCTCGCTGGTCACATGTGCTCTGGCGCCCCCTGGTGGTCGACCTGGGAATGAGCCGTGGCGCGGGACCGATCTATCCAGCCTCGGGCCTCACCTTTCTGTTGGAGTGGCCCCGGCAGTCTGAAGCGCTCCCACCCATAAAGCTGTGCACTTCAGCCTTGTCCTCCAGGTCTGAGGGCGGTGGGGACCAGTCCTGGGGGTGGGGGTGCACGAGAGACTCCAGCTCATGGGCCGCAGGGAGACTGGGGGGGCCAAGCCGAGCTCTGGAGTAGAGCGCTGGGTTCCCAGCGGTGGCCGAGGAGGACAGGCCGGGGAGGGCCTCCCTGGAAAGGAAGACAGGAGACAGGAGCAGGGGTCAGAGCGACGAGTGGGACGGGGTTGGGGTCCTGTCCGGCCGTGAATCTGGGCAACTTCCGGCACATCTCAGGACCTGCTTTCCCAGCCTGTGCAGTGAGAGACAACCGCTGGCAAAGCAGCCAGACTGGTAGATAGGGCCCTTCCCCAGGCTCCAGGCCTACCGAGGTTGGGGGCCTCTCCTCCCAAGGGGCCGACAGCTACAGAAGAAAGAGGAGCATGGCACCCCTGTCTGCCCTGGCTCGGGGAGGACAACAGGGGCTCCCCTAAACCCATCTCTGTCCTTAGGACAACACCACTCCCGTCCCTTCGTCTCTGAGTCCTATGAAACAGTAATTTCCTGCCATGCGGGGGATCAAGCCCAGGGCCCCACACACCCTAGGCAGGAGCTCTGCCACAGTGCTACAGCCCCAGCCCCAGAGTCCTGACATTAATGGGGCTCCAGGGGCTGCTGAGGGCAGCCAAGGGCTCGGCCCCGCCCCAGTCCACGGTCCTTCCTGCACATGCCCCTGCCTGCAGGCACAGCAGCTCCTGGCTCACCTGTGGGGCCTGCGGCGCAGGCCGGCGCACATGCAGGCCAGCAGGCAGAGGAGGCCCAGGCACACGCCCACGATGATGCCCGTGACCGAGTGCACGTCCAAGGAGTCTGGTGGGGAGAGGGGTCAGCGCAGGTCAAGGACAGGAGAAGGCCACGGGCTCAGGGACCACGGTGACTTGTGTGGCCTCTGCAGGAAACCACTAGCCTCAGCTTCGCCCCTTGGAGGCTCCCTTTTTTTTCCCGGTACTAAGGACTGAACCCAGAGGGCTACATCCCCAGCTTTTATATTGTTTTTGAGATAGCATCTCATTAAATTGCCCAGGCTCGCCTTGAACTCGACTAGTGATCCTCCTGCCTCAGCCTCCCAGGTAGCTGAGATTACAGGTGTGCGCACCACCACACCTGCCTTGCGTTTTCATTTTGTACTGAGCCACACAAGTGACACAGCCAGTCCTGTTCCCTGCAAAGCTTGTCCCCTCACCACGCGCCAATCCTCCCAAAGAAACTGGACTCTAAACCACATCCGTGGCCCGACCGAGTCACCCCACCCACATCCCTTCCCTCCGGATCTGCCCTGTCCCTACCGGTCAGGGCAGCTGTCCGGAACGAGGAAGGAGCAGCTGTGCCTAGAGGCAAGGGACCCGGGCAGCCTCCTCCCGAGGCCCTCGTACCTGACAGCTTCTCCTGTAGCGTGATCACATCCTGCAGGCGGGAGAAGGGCCCGGGCCCCACCTCCGTGCGCGCCCCCATTTTGAAGAAGTACCGGGTGTGGCTCTCCAGGCCGTGCACCTCCGCGCTGAAGATGTTCCCTGGGGGCAGCGGGAAGCAGGCCGGTGGGTAGGGAGCAGGCGCGGGAATGGGGCTGCGCCTCCAGCTCAGGTGGCGACTTCCGACCCCTCCCCCGGAGGCCCGGGGGCTAACTTCAGCCGCTGTAGCTGCCGCGTTTGGGGCTAGGCTATCGGGTGGGCGGGAAGAGACGGGGCGGGGCGAAGCTATCGGTGGGCGGGGCTATAAGGGGCGGGGCGGGAGGTGGGCGGGGCCTCACCCTCCGTGGTGAGCAGCGTCCACTGGTGTTCCGGCTGGGTGTGGTTGCTGCTGTACAGGATCAGGTACTCCACGATCTCGCCGTTGGGCTCGGTGGGGGGGCACCAGTGCAGCCGCACGGTGGAGGGCGTCAGGGGGCTCAGGCGCAGGTCGGATGGCGGCGTCGAGGGCCCTGGGTGCAGGGGAGCGGAGGGGAGGGGCGGGGTCACTCAGAGCGCGGCTCAGGTGCCGCTGAAGTCAGGGGTGGGGGCGCGGTCTCCCTTCTTCCTCCTGCCGCGCGGAGGACCCAGGTCTGGTTCTGGCAGCCGCGGGCGCGGGCGGCGCGGCGGGCGCGGGCACTCACGGTCCGGCAGCGTGGAGCGCTCCACCACCGAGCCGAAGGGCCCGTCCATGTCCACGCCGTGGGACTGCACCGCGAACTCGTACTTGGTGAACGGCTTCAGCCCGCCGATGAGGATGTCTTCTCCCGAGCTGCGGCAGGAAACGGCCAGGACCTCGGACCCGAGCCCCTTCGCGAACGGACAGGCCGCACCCTCCTTCGGGGGCCTCCCCGAGAACCCGCGCTGCCTCTGCCGCCACCCGCGGGTCCCTCTCCGCAGCCTCTGCGCAGGTCCCTGCCTTCCACTCCTTGCTCTGGCTCGCCCCGGCAGCGACCGCCTGCTGCCCTCTATGGGTGGGGTCTGAGGACTGGGCCAGGCTCCCGGCTCTCGGAATGGGGACCTGCTACAGGTCAGGCTCCTGGGGTTGGGTACAAGCTGTGTCGCAGGCAGTGGGATCGGGCGGCTCTTTCACCTGTCACCCCGTGGGGACCGCTGCAGGCCCTGCGTGCGCTCCGGGCTCCGGGGAGCCCCTCCCCCGCCCGATGGCAGCCTCGGGCCTGCCCACCTGGTGTAATAGGTGACGAGGGAGGCGTTCCGGAGCCCCCAGGGGCTGAAGCGCACGGTGTAGTTGACGATCTTGACTGTGGTGAAGTCCGGCTTCTTCCACCGTAGCCAGATAGATGTGGAGCTGTTGGATTCCGCGTGGACGTGGGCGGGAGGCAGGGGTGGCCCCCGCTGGATGGGTAAATCTGCGAGGAACGGGATGAGAGAACATGCGCCCCTAGGTCTGTGCAGCCGTTTACATTCCCAGCGCTCCTCCTTGGGCCGTCTCTTGTTTGGGGGGCTTGTTTTATTTTGTTTTGTTGGGTACTAGGAAATGAACCCAGGGCCTTTGCATGAGCTACATCTCTGGCCCCTTTTTATTTTTTATTTTAAGACAGGGTCTCGCTAAGTCACTAAGTTGCCCAGGCGGGGCTGGAACTCGGGATCCTCTTGCCTGTGCCTTCTAGAGTGCTGGGCTTGCGGTGCTGGATGCCACCTCATCCAGCGTGGCCCTCTCTTTCGGTCCTGAGTCAGGTAGCTTTAGTCCCACCTCACAGATAACAAAAGAGAAACTTCCAAGAATCGGAGTGATGTTTGTGAAGGCCATACATGTAGCAGACTGCAGACCACTCGTGAATAAGAATGTAAGACAGAGGCTGAGGCAGGAGGATCTCTACAAGTTTGAGGCCAACTTGGGTTATATAGTGAGTTCAAGACCAGCCTGAACTACACAGTGAGACCCAGTCTCAAAAAACTACAACAACAAAAAGGTAAGGGACAGACAGATAGAGACAGAGAGACAGAGAGAGAGAGAGAGGGAGGAAGAGAGAGAGAGAGAGGAAGCACCTTGTGGAAATTAAGAGCACATGCTGGAGCCAGGCTGCCTAGGCTCAAATTCCAGCTCTCCCACTTATTGCTGTGCGACCCTGGACAGGTTCCTTAACCTCTCTGTGCCTCCATTCCTTGTTCTGGAGGTGGATCTGCTTGATGACAGTACCTACATCATGGGGCTGCTATGAGGATTACATTCTGCATTTTACACTGTAAAGCTGGCAGGACAGCCTGGCATTCCACATGCACTATTTGATAAGTGTTGATTATGGAAACGAACTCCATGGGAGCAGGCATCTTATTTGTGCTGCTTCATCACTAAATTCCCCCAACAGAGCTGGCACGGTGTAGATAAGGTACTCAGTAAACTATCTGCTAAACGAATACATGAACAAAGAACCCAGGTTTCTCGGCTTCCAGTGGAGCGCTTTGCCTGCTAACCCCCGCGGTTGAGAAATCCTCCAGGGAAGTTGGGGTGAGGTGGTGTTACATGGATGACCGATTATCACCGCATGGGGGCGCCCTCCTGGAGTTAAAGGAGAATCTGATGGAGGCAGCTGTGTTTGAAAAACTTTAAGGTAAGGCTTGGGGTCAGGAATCACTGCTCGACCCTGGGGTCCTCGGTCCAAACTTTCCAAAGTAGCTCCGCTCGCAGATAATAAAAATAAAGCAGCAGACCTAAAAGACGGCGCTCCAACCACGGCGTCTGGTCTGGCCGGAAAAAGACCTCACCTGGGAGCATGGGCTCGGGTAAACTGAGGCAGCCACCCCCCGCGGGCCCCGCCCGGACCCCAGCACCTCACCTGGCGTGGGCGCCTTCTCGGTCTTGCCCTTCCACACCGCCGCGTAGCCGTCCTCGTGTTTGTTGAACGCAAGCAGCTTCACCTCATACAGCCGGCCAGGGACTGGGGAGGTCACAGGGGCCGCTCACTGGCGACAGGGACCTCCCAGAGCGCGTGCCAGCCCTCCTCCCGCGCCCCGCTCCTCACCTAGCTGGGTCAGCTCGTACTGCTTCACTTTCTTCTTGAGGCGGACGGGGCCCACGTCCCAAGCCTGGTCCCCGCGGCCCCCCGGCGGGCGCTCGCCCTCAGCCTCCTCCTCGGCCCCCACCTCCCGCCAGTACAGTTTGTAGCCGGAGATCTGCGCTGGGTCGGGGGGTGGCTGCCACGACACGATCAGGGACTCCATCCGCGCGCGCACCTTCAGCTCTGCGGGGGCAAAAGGGACTGGGGCAGAGCAGGGGGAGGGGAAGGGGTCGAGGAGAGGAGATGGGAGGGGACAGGCAGGGGACACGGTCAGCCAGAGCTTTGCCAGGGCCTCACAGCTCCGGGCCCCCTGCTCCGGGCCAGGCCCGGCCTCCAGCCCTGCACGCTGGGCATACAGATTCCGGGGATGCAGGTGTGTCTCCCGCGCATGCGCAGAGGGGCAGGAGGGGCGTCTCCGGGCAGGGCGCAGAGCAGGCCCGGGACAAACTCCTAAAGGAGCAATTGCGGGAAAGGGGCTGCAGAGGCCAGGGAGCAGGGCTAGAGCCATCGGAGTGGGGCGCCCCGGCTGGAGGCCAAGAGCAGGGGTTTCCTGGGTGTGTGAAGCGCTCAACGTATCTCCCTTTATTCTCATGCAAAATACTAACTCATTTCACAGGTAGAAAAACTGAGGTTCAGAGAAGTTAAGTAACTGGCTCAATGTCACACAGGTTTTGTCTGCATTAAAGTTCTGCTTTCTTGTTTTGTGTTCTTTCGAGCCAGGGTCTCTGACTTTGTAGTTCAGGCTGGGCTTTGAACTCCCTCCTGGGCAGCCCAGGCTGGCCTTGAATTTGCAGCAATCCTCCTGCCTCAGCCTCCCAAATGCTGAGATTATAGTTGTTCACCACCATGCCCAGCTAACGAGTTCTTATAATGTACTAAGAACTCTACTTACAACACCTTATCAATCTATGTGCCAGCCTGGGGCAGTCATGAAGCCCCAGAGTTGTAAACGGTTTAGCCAAGGTCACAGCGTGGACAGAAGGGACACCTGAGCCCTTCTTCTCCCCTTCACCTCACTCCCGGGCTCCCTTCCCCGTCAAGGGGCACACAGAGGTCTCCGATGGAGGGGGTCCTGGGGCCCTGGTTCCAAGGGCAGGTGAACCCCACACAGCCACACCCACTGTCCCCTCTGACCTGTACCCTGGCTCTGGTTGTGGGCCCCGGGCGTTCTGTGCTGCACCCACGGAGAGGGCGCCCCGTAGCCGGCCCCCGTGCCCGCCGATATCCGCACTCTGTAGGCCCTATTCGGCTGCAGCGAGCGCAGTGTCAGCTGTGTCTTGCTCCCTGGCACCTCGGTGGAGAAAACCTGATCTGCTGGGACGGAAAAGACAGAGCTGGGTGTGCCCGCCCCTCAGGATGTGACCCTGACACTCCGCGCGTGTGTGCTTCCGCTTCGGATCCTGGCTCCTCCGCCCCCTGGGGCTCAGGACCTTGGGCAGCGAGTCGGGGGGGGGGGTACCTCACCATACTCCCCCTTCCCTATGCGCTGTCACAGGGGTGGCCACCAAGGGCCCCAGGCTTCCAGGCCTTGCGGTCCACCTAAGCCTGTTTCCTGCCTGCCCGCCTCTCCCCTTCCTCTAGCTGCCCTGTTCTCCGTCCCCACGTTACCTACAAGCGTAACCTGCCCTCCCCGCGCCCGGTCTCCCCTCCCACTAACACACTTCCCGCAGATCGCCCCATCTCTCTTCTGCTTTTGGGGCTTGAAGGGCTCCAAGGATGACCCAGGCTCCCGCCTCTTTCCACAGGTATGGAAACTGAGGCAGGATTTCACTAGATTTCAGGCTGCAGCTCAGAGGGGGTGGGACTCCCCGGGCCTTCTCTGCCCGGAGCTGGCCCTCTGTCTGCCCTCTTCCTGCCTGCAACCCCGCCGCCCCGACTCTGCCTCCCGCCGCCATCACCCCTGCCCCCGCCCCCACTCACCTTCCTTTCCCAAACCGTACTCTATCTTGTACTTCACCACCTGCCCATTGCTCAGGCTGGGGGGCAGGGGCAGCCACGCCACCCTGATGTCCGAGGGGTTGGGGCTGGACAGGGCGAGCTGGGGTGCTGCATTGGGGACTGAGACAGAAGAACAGACGTGGGAGGTGAGGCTCAGGAGCAGTGAGCCTCGCCCAGGTCTCGCGGCAAGTCAGGAGAAGGCCCGGGACCAGGATCTGGGGGAGGGAAGAGAGCCTCTCAGGGGCCTCCGAGCTGCGGGATTCGGGGACAGCCTTCCCACCCGGAAGATAGAGGGCGCTGCGGGGCACAATCTTTACAGCCTGTGGCCGCGATCCCAGCTGCATGGCACCTGGGTGTGCGGGAAAAGGACTGTGTGACTAAGTGAATCACAAGGCCTGGGCGCAGGCCGGGGATGTAGCTCAGTGGCATAAGTGCTTGCTTGGCAAGCCTGAGGTCATGAGTTCGATTCCCGATACAAAAAAAAAAAAAAAAAACCAACAAGGCCTGGGCTCAAGTTCCACCTGTACTACTGGCCCTGGACCTCAGTTTCCCCAACTGTATATTCATTTTTTTTTCCAGTACCGGGAATTGAACTTCCCCAACTGTAAATTGGGGAGAGGACCCCTGCCTGCTCCCTCATAGGACACAGACGCTGGCATGAGCCAGGTGACGGTGCCCCGGGGACGGCAGTAAAAAGATGGGGAGCTACTGTCCCCAGGGGACTCGGCGCGGCTGCGTGCTGGCGGCCCCAGGCCTACCGCCGTCGGGCGTGTGCACCAGGGCCGGGGCGGACGTGCGGCTGGCCCCCAGCTGCGAGTAGGCCACCACGTAGAACTCGTAGTCCGTATCGGGCTCCAGGTCCTGCACCTGGAGCTCTGTGGTGTCATTGTTCACCGCGAACTGGTACTCCACGTTGTCCACGCCTGCGGTGGGGACACAGGGACACGGGTTGTCACAGGGCCATCCAGGCACTGGCCAGCTGGAGCCCGTCTGCGGAGCCTTTATACCGTCCCAATCTCTGAAATGATCTGTTTGTATCTAAAACTTCACAGGTATTTGGAGCCTCAGAGGGCACAGTCCCGGGGCTTCAGGTCCTCCTGCTGCCAACCCCTCCACTGGTTAGGAAGCGGCTTCCGGTGGCTGCCGGAAATGACTGCTGGCAGTTAGTGACCCGGGCTGGCAGGTGGCTCCAAGAGGGGCAGGCAGGGGACACAGTCAGCAAGCCCGTTCCCCGTGCCTCTGCAGGTTCCCAGAACTGCCTATCATGGCGGGGGACCTCTCCCGTGCGCTCCCACCCGGCCTACCCCAAAGACACCCACCAGGCACCCCTCAGGCACCCGGCCTGCACCCCCACCCCGTCAGCCCCCGCGGAGGCCCGGCGGCCCGCCTACCCCGGGCCTTCTGGTAGTGCAGCGAGAAGCCGATGATCTGTTCGCTGTGCAGCTCGGGCCGCTCCCAGGCCACCAGCACGGCGGAGCTGCTCAGCGGCGTGGCGGTGACCCGCGTGGGGGCGCTGGGCAGCCCCTCGCGCACCACCACAGCC